TGTCTATTTGCAGTAGATCTATTTTCTTTGAAAGCTATCAACACCAATGTTTTTAAGAGTTTCAAAGCACTCTATAAATAATGGCACTTAAAACAAGGAATTTCTACTTTCACTTCTGTCTTAGCATGTAAATTATCAAAGAAATTACCTCTATGCTCTGCTGAATAAAAAAGGAACACCTGGAATTTCTAGACTTTGACTCAGGCAGGCAAAGAAGGACATTGAAAAGATGAAACTCCTAAAACGCCATCATATGTAAGCAGCATACAGGTTTGAGTGTAGGAAATTCCAGATGTGCACTAGAAGAGGAAAAACCTAAAGTGCCATAAGAACAGAGCTTGAGAAATCAAGCACAGGCTCTGAAAGAGGAATATGTTTGCAATGGATGCCCTGGATGATACTAATTTAAAAATATATAATAATTCCCTGTTCCAAGAGAAGAAGAGTAGAAACTTAAAAACAACCCCAGAGAGTGACCTGAGCCTGTCTAAGCCCTGTCCAAACCACATCTGATTTACAGATGAACCATCCCCCTGCTCTCCTGTCTGGGTGCCAGACTCTCCCCACTCCCCCACCCCTGGGTTAGAAAGGAGGTACTTTTAGGTACTTTTAAGTACCCTAATCTAGGCACTTCTCTAATTGGATTAGCTATCGCCTTTTGCAAAAATAAAAGTGGTCCCATTTAATAATACATAACAGCACTTACAACAAATTCCTGTTGTTTCACTGATTTATGTACATTCTATTTTAGCGTCTGCCCAAGTTCTGCAGCCATTTCAAGAGACAACTTGCTAAACTTGTAAAGCATTTTAACTTTATCTGATTTCGCTTTCATCTCTCACACTGAGTTGTAAAACACATTTTTCTTATTCACAAAGAGTACCACAGACAGAGATTTGGGCTGGAGCCTGATCTACATGACAGCTGCTGAAGTCATGGACAAGAAAAACTGTATCTGAAATTGCAGGGAGCAGGCTGGGAGCGATAGCACCTGCAGCAGCCAGGAGCTGCTGAGCTGGGTTGAGATATATTGCCTGACTATTGCATTTTATTCTCATGGCAGTAGCAGGCTAAGTGCAGTGCTCAGATTTCAGCAGCTCTGATTCCCCTAGAAAGAGCAGGACAAAGCCAGTTCAGAGGTGCTGCTGCAGACTGACATTACCCAAATGGACCTGGCTGCTTTCATTCCCTGTGTTAATACAAATACAGGAGTGCTCCTGGTTCCCCCAGATTCAATTCCCTGTGTTACTACTACAAATACAGAGCTGCTCCTGGTTCCCCCAGCCTCCAGCTGCAGCTCCCAGAGAGGGCACATCCTTGTATGGGATGAACTGGTATTGCCCCTAATATATCTTCACATGTTTCAACTTTTCCCTGTTTTTTCTTGGCATCTTGGAAACAGCAACGGTCACCTGGACAGGCTGGCTTCTCGCAGGAGGGGCTCAGGGGACACTTCAATTTGTGGGTGTTTTTCAGCTGGTGCTTAATCACCAGCAAGATGTTCTGATGCTTGAGCAGATTCCAGAACCTGATGTAGTTCAAGAGAGATTTCAATTTGACAAGAATATTCTGCAAAGCTCCCAGGATCAGTTTGGGGTGCCTGCAGCTGTCCATAATGGGTATAGAGGGGAAACAATTAAAAAACCTGTACACGTTCTCTCACCCCCACCTCTGCAGCTCATCCAAGAGCACTCTAAGGACATGAACCCTGAGCACACACATTGTTTAAGCCTCAGAATAAGGCTGGGCAAGGAGACAACCAAGACTGACCTGCCCTTTCTATGTGTCTCTCTCTGTGAACCTTGGGAGATCCTTTCAGATTTTTAAACAGCATTTAATAGTCATGGAAAAATGGTAGGAAAACAAGTAAAAAGATGGAAAGTAGGCAAAAGAGATCTTGCCAGAGGAGGTGGAGAGCAGAGGGAGATGGCCTTTCCAAAGACCATGCAGCACATGCAGCAACTTCTGTAAAAAGCTGAGAAAAAAAAGTGACCACTGTTAGGGCTTGAGGGTGTCACAGCTTCATCACCTTAACAAGACCTTGTAGTTGTTGAGCCCCATGCAAAATGAGACTCCCCTTTCCTGGGATTTTCTTTCTCTCTCAAAGGCTAAGTGGCTTTACATTTGTCTCCTGCACCTCTCTAAACCAACTGAGCAACCCTCTCTGTAGCCATTAATCTTAAAACCTTGGTAATGTGAGCTCAGAGTGCTCACTTGCCTTTCCTGTGTGCAGTTTTTGCATCCACAGCGACTGAACTCTGTTCAAACGCCTTTTGGCAGACTTTGGGTGCCAACAGCCTTGTCAAAGTTTTATTCCAGTTTCAAGCAGAGATTGAAAGATTCACAAATGTCAGATTTGTGTCTGCTCCTCTCCTTGCATAACTTGCAAACACAAGTCATCATGCATGTACTACACCCACAGCCCCTTTTCTTAGCTAAAATAATACAATGCACTTTGGGAGTTTTAAACTCTTCACCTCAGATGAGGGATTCAAGGAGTTATTAATAAAATTATCTATATGAATGTTTTCTAAAGAGACTGAAACACCTGCCCATGTACTCTCTTACAAAGAGCATGGCTGTCAACATCTAAAGATGTTCTGTATTTCTGTCAGGAGTTTTGCTTTTATCAAGGCAGATGAATCCTGTACTACCTGAATTTCTGTTCATGTTAGTACATGGAAGATATTGTTTATACTGTTGGATTGTAAGATAGCTGGATAAAATAAAAATAAGTGTAAATTTTTACATTTTAGTCTGACTATCCTTGGGCAGCAAAAGAGAGAATGAAACTGTGCCACATCCAAAACTCACCAACTGAAGATCTAGATCATAAATCTTGTGCTCTGAGATGTTCCACGGAGGGCCTGGATAGCCAAATCAAAGGATGCATTACATCCCTCATTTAGATAATATTTTTAGCCCCCACATTTTTTTCTCTATGCACTAAAATATAATAATTTTCTATTAAAAAAATTAAATTGTGCTAAATACTTCATAAAGCAAATGTTGGCATGGGCAGACAATAGTCTATGATGGAGGTTTTCATTTACAGCACCTTAATTAAGTTAATCCCTAACTTAGTCCTGAAAATTTCCATAGGAGAGAGTCTATGTGGGAATTTCCACTAAACAAACATAAAAGGCACCATTCCATTCATCCTCTCAATGTTCACCTTCACTCTACAGCAAAAGCAACAATGGGTTTATACCAGCTTTCCCCCTAAATCAAGGAACACAGCCCAGGTTTCAAGGCTTTCCCTTAGCCCTTCTCATCCTTCAGTATGATATTTTATCCAGTTTTTAATTTTTATAGGGGTACTTCTCCCCACTAAATATTCCAAGGGACTCGAAGTCTTGCGTAATTGAATTACCAAGTTTATAGAAAATCAGTTATAGATGAAATTGCCAAGGTGGGTGTGGGGAAAGAAAGAACATTTCAGCAAGATGTGGCCCATTATGCAAATTTGTCACCACATGCCATACATAATGAATAAACCTTGTGCTCTTAACACTTTGATTATAGTCTATACAGACAATGCAAATTAAAATTCCTGCTGCTCCATAAACGAAATGAGAGGAAATTATGTAAATTCTAACACATTAGATTGATTTGGTTGAAACAAAACCTGCTCCACTTGATATTTTGGGGGAAGTGCCACAATTACAATGATTGAGAAAGTGCAGCGTTAATGAAGTGTGTTATTGCTAATCAATTCCTCCTCCTCTGGTAATGGCTGCATCACCCACTGCCCACGGAGCTGCTGAGCTCTGGGGCACACACTGAGGCTGCCAGGAACTCCTGTTTGCACCAGGAACTCACAGAACTCTGTGACTGACACCCAGGAGGGGCTCATGTTCTCGTGCAGGATCATGGAAGGGTTTGGGTAGAAAGGATCCTAAAAATGACCCCCTGCCATGGGCAGGGACATCTTCCACAAGATCAGGTTTCTCCAAACCCCATCCAACCTGGACTGGAAAACTTTTTGGCAATCCTGCCTGGCTATCTTGGATGCTACTGGAAATCCTAACCAAGCAACTTCCCCTTAAGCAAAAGGTGAGAAATCACCTCTCTGTGAATGACTTCTCCGAAAATAAGGAATTAGATTTTCACCTGGTAATAAATTGACCACGTTTAGTTCATGGAAATTAAAAGCAAGGTCTTTTGGGCTTAAAAGTTCCCTGTCCAAATTAAAGAAACTGAAAAATGGGACTCAACAGTTTCAAAAGTTTCAAATGAAACATTCTTCCAATAACAGTTGCTTGGGTTTGTTGTAGGAATTTGGAATGTCTCTGAAATGGAGTTCACTTGATTAAATTCCGTCATCTGCAGGGACCTGATATGAACAGATCTGATAGAGCTGTTCTACAATTAATCAACAGGTGAAGGCTATGCCTTCTTTACACCAAGCAGAGGAACATCTTTCCAAACATCCTCTCACCATTTTAAACAAAATACTCCTCAGAGCTCCTCACCAAGGTGCTGCAGAATACTGCATTGCTATCTTAATTATTCACTATGCTGTATAAAATAATTAAGTAGTTTATTTATCATATTTTGCAGCCCTTCCTCTAAAATATTTCCATTGCATTTTTAAAGAAAAAAATTTCATTTCCAAAAGGACCTGCATTGTTAGAAACTTGTGGCTCTTATCTCACAGGTAAATACGAGCAGGTGGAATGAGCCACTGTTTTCTATTTAGGTAACTTTTATCTCACTCTCAGAAAAATTTGTCACTGCATGCAGTGACTGCATTTGTTTCCTCTCTCTGCTTATTTGTCTCCGACTAATTTATTTTGGCTCCTGCTGAGACATGAGGAAGCACAGAGACATCTCCCTGCCTTCAGCAGCAGCTTCACGCACAGGACTGGTGCAGGTTGCGAATTAAATGCATCCAAAACCACATCCAAAACCAGGGCAGCACAGGCAAGGAGAGAGCTTTTATGCAGAAATGACGTAGCACATAAACACACAAGACACAGACCAAGGCTGGCACTTACCAGAAGAAATTCTAGTATTTTGTGTTTGCTCCATGAACAAGGAAACAACAGGGGTCAGGCCTCGGCTGCGAAAGAAAATTTGGCAGACCGAGAAAAGAGAATGTAAAAATGAAAAGAGAAGGGAAAGAGACAAAAGAATTCATCTCTCCTAGAAATAAAGCGACATTTAGTTTTGCGGGCAGAGGATCCATTCTGGTGGCAGCACACGCTTCTCTGCTACGGCTGGGGTTTAAAAATGCCAATCCATTTCGCCTGATTAATTGTGAATATCGCTGCCGCTGTGAGAGGCACCGGGAGCGCTCGGACTGAGCCCGAGCTTCCCTCCCCTCCCGGAATTTATCCCGGCTTTTGGCCGGGATGCTGCGGGAGCCGCCGCCCCCGCACAAGGATGCCCAGTCTAATTACACCGTGCTAATTAAAATCTCAAAGTGTGACGTGGCCAGAGAGCTACTCAGAACTTGGCACAGACACATTTGCAACCCAAAATGCGAAACATCGCCCAAAACTGAGGATCAGGGGAAACAACGACAACTAAGTGGCTGTCCGGCAGCGGGAGCATTTAGCGTGGGACAGATGTTTTCTTACATAAAACAGACACAAAGGATCGCAGCGGTAAATATCTCACCCCGCAAGAATCATCTTAATTTCCAGCTCAAAAAGACCTTAGAAAACGGAGTCTCTCCACATAGCTTCTGCTTGAATTCTTTGACTTCCCACTGCTTTGTTTATAGGAACAGGCTCTCTTTGATGTTGGAACATTAGAAGGAGTGAAACAATAAATTTCCCATATTCTAATATCCAGGCATCCCGAGCTTGTTCAAGGACCCCTTGATTCATGAAGGCAAATAATTCAATTACCTGAGCTTTAATCAAGGAGTCGCTGCAGTCCCTTTTTGATGTGCATTGGGCTGTTTGAAGCTCCTCACAGATAAGTGGCCCACACGGGCTTTAACCCTTTTGGCAGCAGCAGCAGAGTGCAGGCAGCACTCTGGCCAAGTGAGCCCCACTGCACCATTTGGGAATGCTGCTCCAGGAGGAGGCAGGGCAGGTCCAGGAGGAGCCCGCTACCACACTTGATGGGATGTTCACTGAAAGGCTGAACCTCTTCTAAACAAGCTAAAATTATTTCCTAGTCAAGTCAACCTGTCCTAAAAGCATTTTTGGGAGCTGCTCTTTAGATGGCACGACACTGAGACATAACAACACTGCTGAGAAACAAAGGGGTTTGCCTTGGCAGCACAAGAGATTTCATAATGTCCCTGCTTCCCAACTATTTCCCTCAAAAGAAATGGAAGTGGGCACACTCCAGTGGGACTCCTCTAGTCGGGTGAAAGTACTCCTCAAATAGCAAAATCAAGTAGATTTAAGCATTCCCTCTCCTCACAGACAAGCACCTGGATGAATTAATCTGTGTCATGACCAAGTCAAAGCCCTGGTCGTGGTGCCTGCAGAAAACCAGAAACTAAAGTCAATGCAGACATTGTGCTCTCAGCTGATTTGCCTTTCTGAATATGATTACGGAGAGAATTCCTCCGCATAAATGAGGAATTAGGCTCCTCTTCATTCATTCTAAGATTCTTTTGGGACATGAGGAGGGTTCTAAAAAGACATAATTAGAAGGCATAATTAATATATAGCGATCTCTCAGTTCTCTGCACAGCTCCAAAAACACAGCCATGGATACACCCCTAATTTTAGCAGCAGTTCCATGGATTATGAAAATGACCTCACCAGACTACTGAGATGTGGCAAAAACAGTTCTGCAACAGGACTTTTTCTGGTCTCATTCACAGCAGAAAGGCATCTGTCCTTCACAGCACAGCTGGGGAAAGGATCCCTGTCATGCAGAGTGACATCTCAATTCACAGGGATACAGGCTGCAAAAAGCATAATGAGCATGCCTGCCTTCCCCAAGATAACAAGCAAATTATTTTGGGGCATGAGGATGTAGATGGAAATTCATGTATTTACATTAAAATGCTTGATAATTTATTAATAAGTTGGGATGTTTCTGATTTGTTGGAAAATAAAACTTGGGGCCTTCTGTAAAGCCCAGAGAGGAAATGTGTATAATGAATTGGTAAGAATGAGAAAAGAAGTCAATGTAGACATAATTTTATACATTTTCCATAAAGCCAAAGGATCTGCATATATAACTAACATGAGAAATGGGAAACCTTCCTCTTTGAGCAAACACCCCTGGTAACACCAGTGAAAAGTGTTAAAGGAGGAGCTGCTAATCTCAAATTCAACAAGCAATTAGCATTCATTAAAGTAATAAAATGCCCAAAGCACTTATGGATTAAATACAGTATACTTTAAAGAACATGGAAACAGTTAAAAAATAAGCTTTACTCCAGTTTATTTTGAATTATTTCATTTCTAGTAAAAAGGATGTGATTTCCAGATGGGAGATACCTGTGGGCAAAAACATTCTCCTTCTTCAGTAGGCAAAATGACTAAATACCAATGGAGAAGCCTTTTGTATTCATTAATTTAATTTACATTATTTTCTTAAAAAAGTATCAATGACCTTGTGTGAATTTTGGGGGAACAAAAAGTAAATAGAAGTAAAAAGCCCTGAGTTTTGGTAGTTTGCCTAAAACACACGACTTCCAAGAAATAACTTGCTGGTTAGTAATTTCTGAAGGGAAATACCATAAAGGCTGAGCTGTTTCCCAGACTGTTTGTGGGGATAGTCACAAGCAGTATTTCACAGCTCTTTGAGCAAAATTCAGAATTGCATCCAGTGCATCAGGGATGGGAGATGTGCACAGTCTGGTCAGTGCCCTTAGGATGCCAGGAAAGCAGAAATTCCAGAAGCACTCTCCCTGACCTCCAGCTCATCCCAAAAAAGCCAAGGTCATGACAAGGAGCAACTGCAAATCTTGGTAAATCTGAGAGCCGGCTTCCTCTGCAGACTTGGTTATTTCAACCCAACTCATTTGGTGTTCAACTTGATTGGATAATTAAACACATATTAGTGCAATTTCATCCACTTGATGGAGCATTGACAGCATTCCTAACAACTGGCAGGATCAAAACCTGGCTGAGCCGTGTGATGCATGACTCAATCTAAACTCAAACGCACATTCAGTGTAACTACCAAAACTCCACATTTTCTTGATGTGACAGAAATGTCACACACTTGTCTGCTTTAGATCAGGTTCACCAGTCTGAATTTAACCAGGAAAGTGCAAACATCAGATAAACAGCTGAAACTTGCCTGCTAGTAAAAATCATTTAAAAAGGCTGCTAACCACAGTAACAAAGTTCTGAGCATGTATTAACCAAGGCACATTCCCTGTGCCTTCCAAAAGTACAAATCCACACTGAAGGGCACAACAAGGTGGAATTCAATGTCAAGTCCATGCCATGAGGAAAAAATAAATCAGCAATTAGACTTTTGATTTTCCTCATGTGTTTTGACTGCTCCTTTAAAGCCCAAGCCAGCAGCCCCTAGGTAATTTGTGATGCTCCAGAATGACAGCACATCCCTGCAGCCTGGAGTGAATCCTCGTGCTACCTTTTCCATGGATTTCATCATGTCCAGGTACCATGTTATAGCTGCACATTGCACTTCTCTGTTGATGCAGCAGGGCTGTTTCCCACTTCCTCTTTCAGAAGAGTGCTCAGGTATTTCTCAGATTTCTCTTGCCTCATTTAAACATGGGGTTTTCTTTGTTATGAAGTAAATAATTATTGAAGTAATTGAATGTACCAAGAATTAATTTTAGCTCCTCCCAGCACTTTGATATCTACTGAGAAAAACACACAGACAAATGAGTTTTTGCTGTTGGATCAAAAAAGTGAAATAATGTCAGCAGAAAGTCACTGGACATCAGCTCCAAGCTTGTAGTGAGGAGTGTGATTGCCCTGCAGGCTGGACATGGAAACCTTGCTTAATTCAGGAAGTAGCAAGAGTCAGAGGAGAAGGCAAATGTGGGATAAGCCTGACCCAAAGAAGCTAAGAAGAATGTTTCCACTTTTGAACAGAAGTGGAGCTGTCTGAGTAAAGGAGAAATACGAAAATAAAAAAAAAGAATGGTCAGAAGAGGTTGCTTTACCTGCTAAATGTAAGGGTATGGGAGAGCAGAGCAAAGTCTGCACTGCAAAGTGAGCAAGTCTGGGGTTGAAATGTTCACTGAATTTGGAGATTTGGAGCTGCACAGGGAGAGAAGGATCTGACAAACTGAGGGGCAAGGAATCTCATCCACACCTCAGCAAGGTGAGTGAACTGCAGCTGAAGTGTAGGAACCTGAGAACCTAAGGCAAGCCCAGGAGCACAGGCAGGATTCCAAGGGCACAGAGACATCAGTCTCAGCTGTTGTACATAGTTTGTTGTCAGCCAGGTCATGCAGATGCCCCAATTAGCTCAGAATGCTCCAAATCAGTTTTGTTTGTCCAGGGCAGTGGACTGTGACCTGCAGCACCGAGGAAGGGATCAACTAAAACCAGTTTCACTTACAGGGCTGTAGCCAAAGCACCACAGAAAACCAGAGATCGCTAAGAGGATTTGTAACTCAACACTTGAAACATAATGAATTTATGACTATTAATTTTTTTCATATAAATATTACAAGATTCATAATTTTAAGGACAGAAAGAACAATTATGACCATCCTGTCTGACCTACAGCCACATGTACTGCTACCTAATCAGCCCTTTTTTATGTAAATGACAAATTGTTTGCATGCAAATGCCACTGCCTGCGCTGTTTTCTTCTTGCTTTAGAAAAAGAAATGCTATGGAAATTGTCCCTGTGCTAAAAAGAATTGAAATGCATACTAATCAGCCATATTCTCCCAGATATACCAGCTATAATTGGAACAGTAACAAATAAAAAGGCAACAATCAGCACTGGACCAAATTTCCTATTTGAATCAGACCCCAAGTAAAATTATTATTCAGCTGCTTTTCAAAATTTTTGAACCTCTTACATTTGGAGAAATTGAGTTTGAAACTGAATGAACAGAGACTTTTCACTAATGTGAAATATTGAAGATCTCTGGAATTTCAATTGCAAGAAAAATATAATGAAAGAGAATGGGAAGGAGCCATTATTATAAAAAATACCTGTTGTCTGTGTGCACTGGATAAATGCTGGA